AAAAAAAAAAAAAAGGGAAGTCATGAGACTAGACCAGTACTGCCATCTGATGACCTACGAGCTACATGTGGCTGCTGAAAGTTAAATTAACTAAAATTAAAGTAACTACTGTACAATACAGATACATTCCTATTATCACAAAGAGCTCTACTGTATACTACTGAGCTAAACTGAGGTTGCTGGCCAACAGAAGCAAGACTTGGACCACAACAATAAACAGAACAGACCAGCGTAATTTTTAGTTTTCATGCTATAAATTTCCTATAGATGAATATTATAGGTCTAAGTAAAGCTACATTCTAGCATCTAAGTGAATTATTAAACAGAGGATTAGTAAGATCTTCTGTGTTCTTCGAATTGTTCTACTGGTGATTTAAAATATTTGATTTCGGGGCGCCTGGGTGGCTCAGTCGGTTAGGCGTCCGACTTCAGCTCAGGTCATGATCTCGCGGTCCGTGAGTTCGAGCCCCGCGTCGGGCTCTGTGCTGACAGCTCGGAGCCTGGAGCCTGCTTCGGATTCTGTGTCTCCCTCTCTCTCTGACCCTCCCCCGTTCATGCTCTGTCTCTCTCTGTTTCAAAAATAAATAAACATTAAAAAAAAAAATTTTTTTTAAATAAAAAATAAATAAAATAAAATATTTGATTTCAATAGAAACAAAACCCAAAGTCACCTAAATGAACTGAGTTAGCTTGTAAATTATCAAAATTAGATTAAATTAATCCAAACATAGCCAAATCAGACTACATTCCAACAGAAAAAAACTGCCAGAGTTCAAATATTTCAGATCTTTTATAGAGGAGGAAATAAACTTGAATAAGGAAACTTTTTTGATACTACACACCAGGCAGAGTTTACCTTGGGGTCATGCAACTGTTTCAACTGATAGCATATAAACAGAATCACTTAAACATAGCACTGTCCTCAAAACTAGCCCTGTGTAAAGCTTACAGTTAAAATTAGGAGTCATATATAATCAGAAGAATTCTGACTCAAAAGCAAAATGGATCTACATAGTATCACCAGGCATTAGTCTAGGTGAGATTTATAAAGATAAAGCACTTTGTAGATCAAGCAAAGCACATTATTGGTGAACGAAGGAGTGTCATGAATATTTTTTTAAGAATATTTCAGATAGAGGGGCACCTGAGTGGCTCAGCTGGTTAATAAGCATCTGACTCTTTATTTTGGCTTAAGTCATGATCTCACAGTTCATGGGATCAGGCCCTGTGTCGGGCTCTGCGCTGACAGCATGGAGTCTGCTTGGGATTGTCTCTTTCACTCTCTGCCCATCTCCTGCTTTCTTTCTTGCTCTTCAAAATAAACAAATATTTTAAAAAAACCATACACAGCAATATAATATATTAATAGACTATATGTTAGGAAAAGCTTACGTTATCTTTCAATCACCTTATTTGGAAAACTTCAGAATAAAAACCAAAATTAGATTCTAAAAATATTACTTCAATCAACTAATATTAAGCATTTAATACATGGTTCTGTGACCTCAATATATAATGTAAAGCCAGATCAACCAATACAATTATACACAGGATAATCAAAATCACCCTAGGTAAATTAAAATGGAATATTTTAAAATATAAAAATAACCCAATAGAAGCAGTAGAAGAAAAACTGAAGAATGAAAAACAGAAGGAACAAACAAAACAATGATAGACCTAATCCAAACATACCAATAATGATATGAAATGCAGATGGACTAAACACACCAATTTAAAAAAACTGTCAGATTGTATGCCTGAAACTACTGTAACACTGCATGTGTTAACTATGCTGGAAATAAAGATACAAACAAACAAATAGGAAAACTGAAAAAGAAAAAAACAGACCATCAAACAGGGGGAAAATGACCATACTATGAGCTATTAACAAGAAATTCATTCATATGTAATTCTATAGGTAGGTTAAAAAGTAAAAGAATGGAAAAAGATATGCCATGCAAACACTAATCAAAGGAACATTGGGAGTAACTACATTAATATCAGACAAAACAGTTCTCAAAGAACTTTACTTATTACACACTGATAAAAGGATCAGCTCACTAAATGTATATGCAATTACAACAGAGCTTCAAACTACAGGTAGCAAAAATTGATGAAACTGACAGGAGAAATAGACAAATTCATAATTATAGTTGTAGGCTTCAACTACTCTCAGTAAGACAGAAAATCAACAAGCATATATAAAAGAACTGAAAAACGCCATCAATTCAAATCAACTGGATCTAACTGACATTTGTATAAAAATGTATCCAACAAAAGAATATACATTCTTTTCAAGGGCACACAGAATTTTACTGAGATAGGCCATGTCATGAGTCAAAAACAAACATTAATAAATTTAAAGTAATTAAAATCATATAAATTTTGTTTTCACATTATGAAGAAATTAAACCAGAATCAAATATAGAAAGATAACAGGAATATATCCAAATTTAAAAATAAAGAAGAATCAGTAAGACTGAAAACTGGTTCTTTAAAAATAAATAAATACATAAAAAAATTTTAAAAATTTGCCATCTCTGGTAAGACAAATTAGATATAAGAGAGAAGACCTACCAAAATCAGCAATAAAAGGAGAGCATCCCTACAGATCCTACAAACACATGAAGGGGTAATAAGGGAATATTATCAACAACTTTACACAAATAAATTCAACAAATTAAGTGAAACAAATTTCTTGAAAGGCACAAACTACCACAGCTCACTGAAGGAAGGAATCTCAGTGGCTCAATATTTATTAAAGAAATTGATTTCATATTTAAAAACAAAGAAGACTCTAAGCCCAGGTGGCTTCAGCGGTGAATTTCACAGAACATGTAAAGAAGAAATAATGCTAATTCTACATACCCTCTCCTGAAAGATGAAAGAAGGAGGAACATATTTTATAAGGCAGGCCATCAATATCCTGGTACAAAAGTCAGAGTAAGTCTTTTATAAGAAAACTACAGATCCATATAATATCTCATGATCATATGCCAAAAAAAATCCTCAATAAAAATACTAGCAAATTAAACCCAACTATATATAAAAAGGACAATCCATCATGACCAACTGGGATTTATCCTAGTAATTCAAAGTCAGCTTAATGTGTGAAAATCAATCTGTGCAATTCACTGTATTAACAGAATAAAAGCCAACTGATAGTCTCAACAGATACAGAAAAAGCATTTGATAAAACTTCATACTCATCAATGGCAAACAACTCCCAGTAATAGAACAGAACTCGAATGCTCTGTCTCCTAAGATCAACAGGGAGGAAAGAATGTGCACTCTCATCACACCTCATTATCTTTCCCCCACTGGCTTTACTGAGATATAACTGACAAAAACTATTTATATTTAAGGTGTACAATGTGGTAATTTGATATATATACTGTGAAATGATTACCACAACCAAGCTAATTAAAACATCTATCATGACACCTAATTTTATCTGTGTGTGTGTTGTAAGAACACTTAAGATCTATATTCTTGGCAAATTTCAAGCATACAGTATTATGAACTAGTCACCATGCTATATACATCTCCCCATTTCCCCCAGTCCTCAGCTCCTAACAACCACCATTCTACTCTCTGTTTCCATGAGTTCATTTTTAGATTACACATATAAGTGAGATCATACAATATTTATCCGTGTCTGGCTTATGTCACTTAGCATAATGTCCTTTAAGTTTATCCATGTTGACACAAATGGGAGGATTTCCTTTTTTTAATGATTGAATAATATTCCATTGTAAATATGAAGATTGCATCTTCTTTATCCATTTATCCATCAACAGACACTAAGGTTGATTCTATACTTGGCTATCATGACTAATGCTGCAACACACACATCGGACTACAGATACCACTTTGAGACACTGATTTCATTTCCTTTAGATATATACCTAAAAGTGGGATTGCTGGATCAGACAGCAGTTCTATTTTTAATTTTCTGAGGAACCTCCATGCTGTTTTCCATAGTGGCTGCACCAATTTACATTCCCAAGAGTGTACAAGGGACCTTTTCCACCATACTGTCACCAATACTTGCTATCTCTTGCTTTTTTGTTAACAGCCATCCTAACAGGTGTGAGGTGAGATCTCATCATGGCTTTGATGTGCAGTTCCCTAATGATTAGTGATGTTGAGCACCTTTACATATACTTGGCCATTCATAGGTCTTCTTTGGAAAAACGTTCAGGTCCTTTGGCCATTTTTAAATTGAGTTTGTTTGCTACTGAGTTGTAGGAGTTCCTTATATATTTTGGATATTATTTCCTTACCAGATGTATGGCTTGCATGTATTTTCTCCCATTCTACAGGCTGCCTTTTCATTGCTACCTTTGCTGTGCAAAAGGCTTTTAGTTTGATGTAGTCCTACTTGATGATTAAAAAAAAAAAACAAAAAAACTCCTGGAGTGCTTATCAAAATACAGATTTAGTAGGTTTGAAATGGAGCCAGGAATTTGTACTTTTAACAAGTATCCCAGTGGTTCTTCATCATTAGGAAAGTTAAAAAACCAACTTAAAGTAGTATTTGAACTGATATTATAAAAAAAATCTCATTAGAAAATGATTCGCTCTGTTTATTTAAGACAGGAGATTTCTCGATCATATTAAACCATATATATACATAACATGCATGCATGCAGATGTGTGAAGTACCATCTTCATTTAAAAATTCACTACATCAGGCAGCCTGAGAGTCTCATTAAAAAATTTTAACTGTCATTTCCTTTTTTCACAGGATAACTCTTCGTGAGAGTATTTTAACTTACAAGATTGATCCTAAAGAGCATTCAAACACTGGTATCATATGTATTTTGTTCTACTGATTATTACTTATGCCATAAATGCTCCATAGCTTTCTTTTCTTTGATCTGTTTCCATTTTTCTGGGAAGTATGTGCAGCAACTATTAGTTTCTTCTCATCTTTAACAATGTCTTCTCTGGAAGTTTATTTTTCTCTCCCATTCTAGATAGAATATTTATTGCTTCGTCAGTTACTGCCCTCTGTAGATTTTTTTTTTTTAAGAGAGCAACTATGTGTACACATGAATGGGGGAGAGGGGCAGAGGGAGAACCTTAAGTAGGTTCCACATGCAGCACAACCCTGGAATCATGACCTAAACCAAAATCAAGAGTCAGAAGCTTAACCGACTGAGCCACCCAAGTGCCCCTAGATTTTTCAGTTTAAAATAGTCGTAATGGAAGCTTGCAAACCACAGTTTATATTCTTTTAGATTATAAGTAGGAAATGACCTAAGTTTTACACAATCCTTTACATTTAAGTAGAACTTTAAACAGTATTTTCCAAACTGGATTTTTCAAAGCCTCCTTCACTGGGATCTCTAAAACCTGCTTTTGATGCTGGGGTGGGAGTAGGGATCACATAACTGGAAGAAAACTATTGTATTTTAAATCTCTTGACATATGTAAGGTGATAAAAAAAGATCCTACCATCCATCCACCTTACCTAATCCTTCTTCCTAGTAGAAAAAGTATTCTATAAGCAAACTTTCTTGGGTTATATGTGCATTTGCTTTAGCAAAAGGAATCTGACCAACTCATTTTTGGGGACAAAATGCACAATTCATTTTGGGGGGGACACATGCATACGTATCTAAAACATCCAGTTATTGGAAATTTTCAAAACTTGCTGACAAAAATGAGTATCACTACCCAAAATGTAAAGTTTAACCAAGCAACTGTAACTAATTTAATAAGTAGCAACGTGAGTAAACTAATGCTAAGTTATAATTTAATAACAAGAACAGCAGATTGAAACAACACAGCTAACTCCAGACAAGAACAGTGATACATATAAGCATTCTCCTTTTTTTTATTTTTTTAATTTAAATCCAAGCTAGTTAACATATAGTGTAATAATGGTTTCAGGAGAATATAGTGATTCATCACTTACATGTAACACCCAACAAGTGCCCTGCTTAATGCCCATTACCCATTTAGTCTATCCCCCCACCCAATGACCCCTCCAGCAACTTTCAGTTTGTTCTCTGTATTTAAGACGGATAACACCCTTCTTGAAAGTGGAGGTAACTGCAGTGATGCCAAGTCTTGCTTGACAGATGTCTTAGTATAACAAAACTGATTCTTCAGGAAATATTAGTAAGTTGCTCTTTTTTATGACTTACTCTTCATCCTAAGGCTAATAATTT